GGGTGATGCGGTTGCCCGAGGCCGAGGGGAGAATGTCATAGGCGATAGGCCTGACTGTGGATTGGGAGTCCCTGCACCGCTGGCTCTTGGATGGCATGTACCTCACATCCCCTCCCCTGAATCCGTGATAGAACGGCGACTCTGCCTTGGCCTTGGAGAGCAGTGTCTGTACCGTCTCCTCGATGCCGTCAACGTATGCCGAGGAGGGGTTCGCAGTGGCATCGTGCTGGTAGGCGCTGTAGATGGTGTCGAGGGCAAGCCCGTCCAGCGTGCTGTTGAGAGGGAGGACGGCAAAGGTCTGCGAGAGAACGTTGGTGCACACCTGCCAGAGGTTCTGCGACGATTTCGGGTCGAGTATGTCCTCCGTGTCGTACCGGAGGATGGGTTTCGAGGTGTCAAACAGGGACTCATCCTTGGCCTGCGTCTTCTGGCTCTCCGTGAGGTTGGAGGAGTATTCATTGAACATTGTCACATTGGTGTAGATGTCGATGATGTGCTGGTTGATCTTCTCGTAGATGCCCGAGAGCACATCCTCCGTCTCTAGGATGTCAAAGTTGATGCCCTGGATGTCCTTCGAAGTCCAGAGGTCCGGCTCGTTGGCCTTGCAGCAACGGAGGTTGTTCGTTCCGTCTCCGCACTGGCAGCCAAAGAGGAGGGTGTTTGTGAGGACATCGCGGAATTGCCTCAGCTTCGCCCTCACTCCATTCTGCACGGCCTGTCGGAGCAGGTTGTTGCTGCTATCGGTGTTGAATCTCTTCAGCGTCTGGATGAAGCTGTGGATAATTGCCATCCTTCCCGGCCCGCCGCAGGAGAAGGGAGAGACCTGTGGGCAGCATGCGTCTTGTGCCGGGTCGCAGCCTGCCGATGGAATCTGGAATGTGCGATCCAGGGTAGAGGAACGGTAGTACTGAAGGACCTGAAGCGAGCGCGATCCGCCCGACGGCCAGAGCTCGGCTGCGGAGAACGGCCCTAGGAAGTAACAGTCGAAGAGCTGGTGGATGACATCCCCCTCCATCGAGAAGAAGTTGAGGTCCAGCTCTGTGTTGGACCAGCCCAGCACCTCGGGTGTGAATAGCGCCCTGGCCTCCGCCGCCACCGCATCGTACTCGTCCTGAACGGATTGGTACAGGGCCTGCGATCCGGGCACGTAGCTCACCGCATGCAGCGAGGCGATCGGGACGCGGTTGCTCGTCCTCCCCGACCAGATGTATTGTGGGAGCTGGCACTGTGAGGAGAGCGAGGTGCTGAGGCACTGGCTGAACTCGTGGGCAATCGCCGGATTGGGGTTCTGTGCCGGACCCGTGAAGACCTCGCAGCCATCGATGTCTGCATAGTCCGCATTGTCGGAGGAGAAGCTTGCGATGCTATACAGGAAGTAATTCACACGGCTTGTGTTCATCAGGGTGAGGTAGCCGAGGAGGCAGGCATCCGTTCCGGTTCCCACGCGCACGGACTCGGAGAAGCAATTCAGCACCGATTGCTGGATGAACGAGGGGTTGTACACATTGTCGATGATGAATCCAAGGTTCTGCAGGTCGGGGTAGAGCTGGTAGTTAGAGATGTAGGCAGCCCCCGTGTCCCACACCTTGTATACCTGACAAAATCTGTCCTCGACTGCGTCAGCTTGGGACACTCCCTGAGCAGGTGATGGAGGATGGTCTCCGCTGTTTCCAGTTCGTTCAACCCGAAGGTGGTGTAGGTCGCCTTGTCCTTCATAGGCATCAGGATGTTGTCGATGATATCGGTGATATCCAACACTTCTGTGGTGTTCCACTTCTTGTCCAACCTTGCTCTCTTACATGGCTGCTCACTTCCGTCCTTGCTTCGCATAACCTACAAGGAAACATTAAGGTCCTAAAATACAATGCACATTTGCAATACATTAAACCGCGACGCCGTCCGCTGCTTCTCCATAAGGAGTTGGGTGGGTATGCGGAGCTTCAGGTTGCCATCAGGGAGCCGCTCGACATTGTTGAAATTCTTGGTCAACCGCACATGCCGGAACATGGCCTTCTGGACCCTGAGGCTTAGCGTGAAGTACTTCTCTCCGATCCGGATGGCTGGGAACTGGTCGAACACAGACCCACCCATGGGCTGAAACCAGGAGCAGTAGCACTCCCGGCGAACAAGGTGCCCAATCATGGCCTTGCAACAGGGGTTCATCTCATGGTCCCAGCTTTTTCCAGCTAGTATCAGTAGGTTCCTTCCAATGTCCACTTCCCTCATACTCAATTCACACTCGTAGACGCTTCGATATTTAAACACACACCGCGCTGTCCCAGAAAATGTGGTTTACTGTTACCAAGATTGACAACAAAGAGAAGGGATTTCGCAAGCTCCAGAGGGCATCATGGAAACAGGACCCTGTTCCAACCGCTACGGAAGTGTCACAAATCCTTGGGCTGCCCGACGATCAGATCAATGCCATCATCCAACGCGAGATCTCGATCGCCAAGGAGAGAAAGCAGCTACTTGAGTTTCTGGTATGGAAATCCAATTCTAAAGACAAGCACAATCCCACACCGCTGTACACAATCGAGTCCTACTACAACTACCTTCTCAATGCCAGGCCGGGAGATGTGATCAACCAACGCAAATTCAAACCCAAAAAAAAGAATCAATATTTAAGGTCGCATCAAACTACTGATACACAATGCCCTGGGCCAAAATTGTGAACAACGGAGAAGCAAACGAACTACAGAAGTACCCCAAGGGCGTGAAGGAACCTGCCCTGGAACCATTCGTGAAGATCCTTGCCGAGCAACGCCAGCAGGTGAGAGAGAAGTCCCTCAAGCGTTTCAACGTGCTGGTCTTCAAGGCGGGCAACCTCTCCAGCCATTCCACATACTCTGGAAGTCTACGGGCACTCTGGAAGAACCTGACCCCCGGTGATCTCGTGTATTGGAGCTACCCCAAGCGCAAGCCCAACCATGCATAGATAGCTCCGGTAACTTCGTAATTTATTACAATTTACCACAACTCAATCGATTCAATCATCAAACGAGTCATCATCCTCCTCCTCCACACTCTTGCGCTTCATAGGTAGGGCGGTGCTGTTGCTCTGCACGTTGTAACTGTTGATGTCCATAACCAGGCAGATGTAGTCCAGCTTGGATCTCCCATCCTCGCCATCGGGCCCAAGGTCCACGTGGATCCTGGTGTACTTGCGAAGTTTCATCGACTTGTGATAGATCTGGGTATCCGTATTGCCATCACAAACATCCATGTCGCTCACCGTGTTGTCTACAAAGACGAGCAGATCGAAGCGGAAGCATATCTCTCGGGACACCAGGGCGCCTTCGCGCTCATACGCAAGACGCTTCCCAGTGTTGACGAGGAGGAAGTTCGCCGTAGGATCATACTCCACTTGGTACCCATTATGCAACACCTGTGTGAATGGGTGCTCCCGGTTGTTGCAAACGTTTGCAATGCTCGAGATCAGACTATTCTCCTGATCATGTTCCATGCCGAACATCTTGTGGTAACGGATTACAGGGATGCAGCGAAACGATGAGAGTCCAGGCACGTTGTCCGAGCCGCCGTTCTTCGTATAGACCTTGTTCTTGCCCACGAATAGCGCAAGGCAACCAAGGCTGCTCACAAGCTCCAGCAACCTCCTCGCCTTCTCCATGCATTTGAAATTGAGCTGCTTCTCCACCACGTAAAAGGGGATGTCCACTTGTTCGATTGCCTCACCACTGTTGCTGTGGTGCCAGTTGAACACCTTGATCACCTTATGATCGTTATCCACTTGGAAAACCGATGATTCGGAGGCTTTTGGGCACATGAAAAAATCACCGTTCTTGGAAAAAAGGTTCTGACAGGAAGAAAATTGCCTGCATCTATCGTTGATCTGGTTCTGGTGATCCAGGCTTGTGGGGAGGCGGTCCAACACCGGGAGGAAGGCATTGAGACCGCGGTTGGCAAACTCGATGCAGGTGATCTTCAACATCTCACCGTCCTGCGCCTTGAGGTTGTTCCTCACACGCACAGAGACCAGCAGGGTAGAGAACGCAGGGATGACATCCACGTCGGGAAAGAGCTTCTTCTGAGTGGTCGCCTTCTCATTCTCAAACTCAAACGTGTGCTCCGTCACCATGAAGCGCAAGGAGCTCCCTTCCATGATGCTCCCCGTCAGCTCAGGACATATCGGTCCGCGGTACTTTGCATTCTTGTCCCTCATAAAGGAATACAGGGACATGGAACGACCAGTGTCGTCGACCACCATCTTGCTCAAGGGCTGTGCCTCAGGCGTGGCCTTCCCTTGTCCATAGTACGGTGCCTTAGAAAATCCTGCACTGTAAGGGGTGATTACAGCGAGGTTGCAGTTCAGGCACTTTGACTCGTTGTTCTTCCAGCTTCTCTTTGCTTTGTTGCTGCTGTATGTCTCGGTGCTGCAGAATATGTCGTCGAGGTTTACACAGAGAATGAGGTTATCAGGGCTTGAGCTGCTTGATGGAAAGTTGCACATTTCCCGCCAAATATTGTTTGGGTTGAGAAACGTGGCAGACATGGCCGTGGCACTGTCTTTGGAAAATCACTCCCTTCCCCGCCCTTCATATACCCTCTCTCCCCTCTTTTTTTTACTATATAATTCATTTACTTGTTCCCAGTAAAATGAGTTTTGCCGGACTGTGGTCCTATGTGTTTTGGAACGATCTCCTTGAGCTCACATGCATGGAAGGGGCAGTGCTCTTTGGGCATATCTGTCTCTTTTTCATCCTCATGTTCTCCGAGCCATTCATCTACAACAACAACCTGCCATACTGCGACAAATACAGGTACATCAGTGAGAACATCTCCGTGCAGAAGGGGGTGGCCAGCGTCATGGTCTTTCTCATGTACCCCACATGGTTTGTACTTGTGTCCATCGCCTCCCGCTTCCAACCGGGTGACATCATCTCCCGAGTTCCTTGCACAATCCTTGCCGTCGTGGCATTCTCGGGTGCGTTGAATGTCCTCATGTACGATCAGGACATAGCCAGCAACCTATCCCCTGTCGACTTCCAGCACGAGATTGACCGACAGCATAACATGCACATCCTCGGTGCTCTACAGCTCTGCACCGCCTTCATATTTGGTCAACTCCTGCTCGCGTTTGCTTTTTCGGCAAAGGACGTCATTGACAACTTGCGTGCTACCATCTGGCTATGGATATGTCGAGTATTGTCTATCGTCACATTGGTCATTCTCACCCTCAATGCACTGCTCTACAAGTACGGCGACTGCAAGACTACAACCGTCTGGCTTGAATACTTCATGTACTTTTTCATTGGAGCCACCAACGCAGCTCTGTATGTCACATACACCGTGTTTCACACCATAGACAAAATGAAGTGTGTTGTTTCTTAGAGTTTTATTGACAAGCTTCCGATAGCTGCCAGAAAATGAAGTCACTCATACATTCCTCACATAGCGTGTTGTGATGGGTGTCGGAACAATAAACAATGTTGTATGACTCCGGATTAGTGCAATTGTCGTTCAACACTTGAAAACATCCGCAGTTTAACTCTTTCACAGCATCGTACTTTGCCTTGCATGAGGTTCTGAATTCATGCGACAATTCTTGAAGAGAGAGTTCGGTCGACATACCAAATCTGGGCATGCCCAAAACATGGCTTAAATACTCATGTTGCACTTCACTGACAAGTGGTTTGTAGGGGGATGTGGTCATCTCAACTTTCTCCGGCCAGAGGGAGGGGGGGGGGGAGGCATTTAATTAATTAATTCATTAATTCATTTAATTCATTTAATTATACTGTCCTGTGAAACTTATTTATTTTATTTATTATTAGAAGAACAGGATAAATGAATTAATTTAATTTATTTAATTTAATGAATTAATGAATTAATGGAGACCCCCCCCTCCCTGACTGGAGAGAAAGTCTGAAGTGACCACATCCCCATACATGCCCATGAATTAATGAATTAATTTATTTAATTGAATTTATTTCATTTAATGGGGACCCCGATGTTTTTTCTGGAATGAATAGATGCAGTACCTAAATCTAGCACCTAGGTCCAGCCCCTTCGTCTAGCACCCACGTCTAGCACCCACGTCTAGCACCCACGTCTAGCACCTACGACTAGCACCCCCGATGTAGCACTTGACCCGGAACGGAGAATATAAGACAGAGTGTGCTCAGGGACGGCACGGCAAAAGTTTGAAGCATGTTCCTCCACGATATTCTGTTTGAGATTTCAGGGGACGAGAATGATCTACAGCGGGAAGACATTGAATTTGTAGACGCATGTAAGACGGCAACCATACACCGTGTAGCGGACCGTCTGGTTACCATATTCAGAAACAAGGAAGGTTACGATAGGCAGGTAAAGGTTAATTCTTTAATCCAGAAGGCATCATCAGATGGCCTAATTAAAGTAATTTGTCCTTACAACAAGATGGGAGCTGTAACCGTGCATAATATGGAATACTACTACGGTGTTCAGGTATGTCCACGAGGATCGAAGCCCATTCAAAAGCTGGAAGTCGATGAAGAAAATATCGCAATGTTCATGGAGAACTGCGTGCAGTTGTACCGTGATGCGGTTGTGTTGTATAAGACGATGAAAGTGTTCACGTTTGTCAGTTGGGGAACACTTTTTGTCACGCCTACACACAAGTTTGTCTGCTTCCCATTTGAACCCCTACAATGCACGTTTCCCGGTGTCATCCGGTGTAGAAGGAGATACTTCCCGGACGTGCTGGACAGTGTACACCCGAGAAAATACGTGCCGGAGCTTGAAGGACTCACGGTGGTCACATATTCTATCCTACAGACGGTTGGGCATGTCCTGATGAATTATGAACTGCGTGGATTACCGGTCTGGTATGCCAAGAACGTACACAGCAGTAAAACCAGGAATCCGTTTACGTTCCATTTGAATTGGTTTATAGCTTTTTGGATGAGATGCAATCAAATCTTCTTTAGAGATCCGTCGTTCTTTCGATTCCTTTGGTGCCAAGGGACCACGGACGAGTCAAACTACATCATCATGTATCTTCGGGAAATGTTTGGTCCGATGTGCTATGAAAAACTGGGCATCAAGCAATATGAGCTTTTTCAATTTTTGTCTGTCGTTGTGCAGACTGAGGATATCATGCACATGTCATATGCACATGTGAAAGACGTGTTTGTTCCGATGGAATCCTGTATTGTAAAGAACGGTGAATGGATGGTCACTGGAAAGGATCTGTTTATCATATATCCCAACTGGTACACCCATGTGAAGGGATTTCAGAATACGGGCCTGGTTTGGAGGTAGAACGATGGAATAAAGTGGAACCGAAACGCCTCACATTGTTGCCCTTGCATTTGTTTGTGGGTTTAAGGTGGATGCTGTAACCCCTGGTTTGGAGCGGTAGGGGTTGGCAGATGTTGAGCATGTGTGCATGAGCAATCCCTAGTAGCAGCAAGCGGTCGGTCAGGATGGATTGCTTCTGTGACAGAGGTAGGCATATATCGCTGTTGGTGTGTAGAAGGGACTGGTGTGCTATGAGTATGTTGCGGTTATACCGATCTAAGAGCATAGCGGGATCGGGGCAGGATAGGATCATCGCGTATGCATCCCGAATGACCACATCGTGAAACAGCCTTGCAGTTTCGCTTTGTTCGGCGCTCTCCGGTATTTGGAGAGGCATTCGTATAAAAATAGTCTGTATGTAAAATAAATAGAATGAAGCTATTGTTTCTAATAATTCTGCTCGTTTCTGCATCGGATGCCACGTATTGGTCCATCCCACAGTGTAAGTGTAAGGTAGACAAGGCTTACTTTGCACAGCTCACAGCCGACCACATGAAAGCCATACTGTTGAAGTGGAATCCTTCCGTGCATGACTTCACCTCGACAGAATGGAAGGGGACCCAGGTCCAGCTCTCACAGCCGGGGAACACGTTCACATGCCCGTACCTGTACGAGATGGAACGTGACGTGCAATACCGGACGTTTATCGACCCACCTTCATTCCTCACACCATTTATTTCACAGACGCTAATACAACAGGACAAGCACCAATCCATACTCAACTGTAACATGAACGATCGCTACATGTTCTTGGAGACATGCGTCATTTCAAACCTTCCGATGGTGAAAAGCCTGAAGATTACGGTGCGAAGTGAACTTCAAGCGGGGCGACCCCCATTTGCAGAAATACATGTCGAATACGAAGAAATGCCGTGGTTTGTCTCCCTTATGCAGGGACAGATTACTAGTCTTGTCAACTCAAAGGCCAACGAAATCTGGAAGCTGCTCATAACAGACATGTGCCAGTGCTGAGCCATTCATTCAAGCAAGTCCATGGCAAAGAGAAGGAAAATAGAGTGGTATAACCTCCTGTGATTGGCACAGAGCTCGCGGAAATCATCGTTGACGTCTGGGATGGGGCTCTGTGGTGTAAGGCCCTGCATGATTCGATATATCTCGGCCAAAATCAACGAGTGGCTGCGATGTGCTCTGGCCATGTGGTGCAGGAAGTCGGGTGCGTTTTGGATGGTCTGGTGAACTTGGGTGCGCAGTGCGTGGGTGTTAACCAAGTTATCCCAAGATGTCACTTGACTGCCATGCATGCGGAAGCGCTCGAGACGATGGAAGACATACAATGGGATGGTTCCTTGGACGACCTTGTAATGGATCTCGAGGTTATGCCGATGCGGATACTGCGGTGGGTTTTCCGGATTGTTTACATAATCGGCGAGGTACTCGAAGAAGTCCATGGCATCGCCACTGGTGGCATAGGCAACATACCCTGGGCCATACACCATCATAAGATTGTCGATTTCAATCACATGCATGCCAGGCGGCCAGGTTAATTGGTTGTATTCCATCTTGAGTCTTGTGTTAGAATATGTGTAATATATACTACAATACAATGTCAATAATGTGAAGCCCTGTGTCGATTGCACTGCCTATGAGTTCGGGTGCGAAGGCAATGAATATGAGCTCGCTGGGATAAGGGTACACCCTTGTCGGGGAGAGCTCGAAGCCCCATGGCAGTACCACCATGGCCACGCTCAGTGTTATCTTGATCGTCTTGCCCATGAATAGCTTGCGGCTGGATAGCCCAGCAAGGCTGCCCTGCACGCCGTGTAGCATGTGGACTGCAAACATGAGCCCGCACAGCATCGTGGCGTTTGGGAACCAGAATATGGTGCGAGAGAGCACGAAAAGGTACACGAGCCAGGCCATGAGAAAATGTGAGAGGAAGCGTACAGAGGCCAAGTCCATCTTAAACACAAGGGTTGGCAGCATGCACATGAGTACAAAGAAGAGGACAAAGGTCATGGGCCCCAACACATGGCCAAGATGGGCATAGTGAGAGTCGTCCTCTGGGATACCAAGAAGTATTTTCCGGTGGTAGCAAGCAAATGTGTACGCTTTTACATACGTAGAAACAGCCAAATTAAAGACACTCATATCTAATCTAGAATAGCTCGTAAGTTTTATACGGCGAGGCCCTGGCGATGACCTTTTTGTTGGCGGGCATGGGTTCCCTGGGTATGATCTTGGGCATAGAGTGGTTGTACCAATTCTTGAAGTGGGCAACGTTTGGAGCGATGGCATCTGGTGTAAACTCACTGACCCGCATGGTGCAGTTGGTGGCGCTCAGGGCGGTGTAGGGATCCCCAAGAGGGAGAGAGATAAAACCGTCGTCGCCGTTATCCCAGATCTTTGGAGAAAAAGGTGCCCGTAGCATATGAGTGGGATCGGCAAGACCCATGTCGATAAAGAACCCAGTCTTGCGACATTCCAGCTCGATACAAGCATATGCAATGGATACTTTCACCAATTCCGGCGTCTTGAACATGCAATCCGCTTGAAACCATGAAACTTTCTCGCGCATGGACTGGACCCAGCGAAAGATGTCCTTGATGCTGGTCATGGTAGATACAGATTGAAACAGGTGTAGCATAAACTTCTTTTCCATACCATCGACGAAGCAACACATCTGATGGAGGACGGACTTGATAGGCCCATACTGTGACAACCACTGTGTGTGGTTTGTGCAGGCGTCGACAAAGCGGGGTTCAATGATAGCGTACCATTCTCGATACCAATAGGGGATCCACACAGTGCCCTCTGTGCCCTCAAGAGTCTCGTTTCTCCAGGCATAGTCTTGCCTAGCAAACGTAATGTACGAATCCGAAGGGCTCCGGGCACTCAGGATGGGTACAGGATTCACAAAGCGCATGATGCTTTTGCGCAGATCTCTCTCTAAATCGCGCTGCCAGTCTTCAGACTGCACACTCCAGTATAGCTGACGGAATGCAAAATAGATGTGCCATCCCTTTCCACTGCAGCAAACCAGGATCTGTTGCATGTCTTTTGTGGATTCACGGATAAAGCTCTGATAAACGTTGGCGGCAATAAAACTCACCATAAGGAGATGAACCTGGGGATCTAGGGTCTGTGTGTCGATGTCGATAACAAACATGCGATGGCGAAGCGTGTAGGTGATCTGAGTGCCCCTGACCGCTGGATCCAGCTCGCCGCCAAGGTGGATAGAGCAGATGTCGTTTTTCCGAATAAACTCGTACAGGTCCGTAATGGGCTGGCGGCGCAACGGCTTGCCCTTGAAATTACTGTATCGGAATCCCATAACGTCGCCATGGGCGATGCCTCGAAAGGGGAAGAAGATGATGCTCATGTGCAGGAATACCTCTTGTGTGGAAAGGTGGTGAAAAAGTGAGAGGACATTGTCCTTTCCATAGACAGTCATCTGCGTGGAGGACATGGTTTCTGCCGTCCCCTGGGCCGTTGTGGGGTTTTATAGGCATGGCCCTGCCCTGGGTGCTAGATCTAAGTGCTAGATAGGGGTGCTAGACGTAAGTGCTAGACGTGGGTGCTAGATCTGAGTGCTAGACGTGGGTGCTAGATCTGAGTGCTAGATAGGGGTGCTAGACGTGGGTGCTAGATCTTGCTTATGAAAGCACACTGTCCAGATTTGGTGGAAACAACCATGTCCGCACGCATGACCAACCTCGACATCATGGAGATTCACAAGTACATGCAACCACGATACGGGACACAGAAACGTCTGAAAAGGCTCTCTAATTCAGTTATATTGTATTACGAGGATATGATTGCAACGGTATTCAAGGACATCCGCTTGGACCAGTCGCCCTATCGCAATGGTTATCTGTTTGACTACGAGTTCATGCAATACGGAAACTACAAGATCATCTTGGTGACTGCAACGGAGGAAGAGTTTTCTCTGCGAGGGACAAAGGAATTAGAGGACGTTTTGGGGATGGCGAATAGCGTTGACATGGCACACTGGTGCTATACTTTACTTTACGGGTATACGCATCGTTTCAGGGTGAATGTCGACAGGGTTCAGTTTGTGTGTTACGAGGGCCGTCGCACCTCTGTGTTTGGGTTTTGGTGCATGGAGATGAACCCTTGGCACAGCTTCTCGATGAATGCCATGCTCCCCTGTTTGGTGGAGGACATTTGGAGTATGTTTGAGAAGTGTTACAATCATATCTTGCGCAAGCATCTGAAGACGATTGGTGATCGGTATCTTTTTGCGACCGAGGGAATTGTATGCGAGAAACTCGGGTTGCACTCTGAGTTCACTCGTATGATCGTGGAACATATGGTTATACCCTCGGATGAGTGTTACATTTTTGACATCAACGCGTTTTCACTCGATATCTTCATACAGCACAGTTACTTTGCATTGAGCAAAGACGTGCAATTTGCTAGGAAGGCATTGGTGTTTTTGGTTATGACATGCCGTCTCAATTCTAAGTTTGCTACGTTGATGCTGAACGCGTTCAAGGAGCGATTCCATGATAAGCTGGAACCCATAAGGTGTGATCGAGGCATCGTAGTCAAGGATCGTGACAGGTTTGATGTCGTCGTAGAGGAAGTGAATGGAACCCCAGAGGTTGAGTCTTCCTCGGATTGGGAGACAGGGGACGATAGCGAAGAGGATGATATGGATGATATTGAGGAGATAGGTATGGAGCAGACACTGTTACCCCAGCACTGGGACGGTATAGTAGACTGTATGTATTTGATTCAGGGAATGCCTTCCAATCAAGGGGAACCGCTCAAGATGCCATTTTGGCACTTTGTCAAGGTGGACGTGCGGTATGGATCAAGAATTCATATTGAGGAGGCGAGAAAGGCCGCCGTAGACCTCTATCATTTGTCGTATGTATAGTGTATTTAAGATAGGTGAAACACGATAAACGGACCCAATGCCCAAATATTGTTCCCATTGCTTTACACCCACGAGCCGAACAAGGGAAGTCCTGGCTCTGGCATGGGTGAACCGCGAGGTTCTGCTGCTCGTGCTTCTCGCTGTGAATAGTCGCTTGGAGCACGGCTGTATTCTTACCCGCTTAGATGCCGACTTGATCCGCTGGGTTGTGGAGATGTGCTGCATGTATGGCGTCTATGACCGTAGTATGGCACTCATAGACACAGGTTGCTGCTATCCTTATCGAGCTCCCAATTACAGATCGTTTGGAAAATCCCGTGGATCGATTTGCTGGATTACCTGTGTCGAGGACATTGTCCGTACATGGGTGGTTCTGCAGCAGCACGGATGCATACTGCGCAGAGATGTGGCAGAGTTGGATCTTATGATAGATGATCGCGGTGTGGTGTGTCTTCCGAGTCATGTGATTATCATCAACACGGATGATACACCCGTCCAGAGGGTCAGGCACCTCGAGAGGGTTCTTTTTCAGATCGTGAAGATGCTCTGCCTTGTCGATGACGGAACAACCGCTATTACGTTGGAGGATGAAGCCCTGATGCGCAAGATCGATGAGTTCTTCGTGGACTACCGAAAGAGAATCGCTTGCAAAAGACCGGTAATGACAGTGCTCTCAGTGCTCCAGCCATTCCTCTCTCGCCAATACTTTGACGAGGCCGTTCTGGCATGTGTCCAAAATGAGATACACAACTTTACGTACACGTTCCTGTTAGGCATCAGTGGTATTTTTAAAGAATAAATCACGGTGTGCATTTAGCTGTGGACTTTGTGGAATTTTGGAATTTACTGCAAATCAACACTCAACACGCCTAGTAATTAGAAGATATTGCGCTTCATGCGCTTCTGTATGTAATAGAAGAGAGAAGCGGAGTCCATGCCAGGCATGCTAGTGGCAGTGACAGGCTCCTGGATGAATCCATCCTCAATGGCTTGCGCACGCCATTCAGCACGAGCCACAGTGGAGTACTGAAAGATCGCGGTTATGTACTGGACGAAATCGTCAAAGTTGACATGTGTCTGCGAGTCCTTGGGCTGATCGAGTCTAAACACTTGCCTCGGACCAGTTTGGATTGTCAAGCTGACACCAACATTTACCTTGGCATTGACAATGTCCTGCTCCTCATGGTGAAGGGGAACCTGACCCTCAGGCCGAGGTAGAACCGCCAACAGGAGGGAATCGTCAACATGTTCCATGTATGGAAGCGAAGAGAATGCCATGGCAGCAACAGACGCATTCGCCACGTTAGTGTCTCGCATCCGGTTGATAAACTCTATGCCAGTTAGCGCACCGTGGTTAAACGGGCGCTTCACTGTGATACAAGTGTTGGGAAACGTGGTTATGTTGAAGAGGTGTTGAAAGATCTTCAAGTGCACATCCACGGGGAGGTCCTTGAAATCCAACTTGGGAAGTCTGGACCACTTGGACGGCGCTGGCGGTGCCTTGGAGCACATGCGACGGTAAGCAAGGACTCGCTGCCAAGGGCATCTGTACATCGCGTCGTAAATGAACTTCTTGCAGAGAAATGCGTAGGTATCCTGCAATATGCGGACATGCAGACGAACATTTGCCTCGTTCGTAACACGCGGCAATAGCCCATCCACGGCATATATGTCCATAATAGGCACGATTGCAATCTGCTTGAATGGGTTTTTGGATCTGCGATATAAAAAAGTCTTGTCTCGGTCACGTGATGTGTCACGTGACCGGTCAGGTGAGCCTGTCAGCCGGGTCACGGCCCCTGTCAGCCGGCTGACATGTCACGGGCCTGCTGACACGGTCCGCTGACCGGTCACGGCCGCCCGGAGAGATCAGGCCCCCGGCCAATCTCCGGACACTTAGCCTCCTGGCGGGCCTCCAGGGGGTCTGAGGCGGGGCTGAAGGCTGCAGTCGGTCTACTGACGGGCCCGGCCGGCAGGATCCGTCGAGAAACAGGGGGGTCAAGGGAGGTTTTCTTCCCCCTGGGAGAAATGTCCTATGGGTTTTTGGATCTGCGATATAAAAAAGTCTTGTCTCGGTCACGTGATGTGTCACGTGACCGGTCAGGTGAGCCTGTCAGCCGGGTCACGGCCCCTGTCAGCCGGCTGACATGTCACGGGCCTGCTGACACGGTCCGCTGACCGGTCACGGCCGCCCGGAGAGATCAGGCCCCCGGCCAATCTCCGGACACTTAGCCTCCTGGCGGGCCTCCAGGGGGTCTGAGGCGGGGCTGAAGGCTGCAGTCGGTCTACTGACGGGCCCGGCCGGCAGGATCCGTCGAGAAACAGGGGGGTCAAGGGAGGTTTTCTTCCCCCTGGGAGAAATGTCCTATGGGTTTTTGGATCTGCGATATAAAAAGTCTTGTCTCCCGGGATTCGAGGCGTTCATTTTGCACCAC